ATATATATATATAAATGAATGTTGGCGATCAATAATATTCACAAATTTAGCATTATGCTAACTGATGGCTGCTCAATAAAAGCAAACATCTTAGACAAATATTAAACAATCATTGAGTCGTATACATATGTGTGTGTGTGTGTGTCTGTCTGTCCGTCTGTCTGTATTGTTCCATTTTAATTTATTTGAAATAATTGCTGAATCCTAATTTATCTTTACAAAAAACTTTAGAACATACTATTTAACGATAATGTGAGATAATTTAAAATTAAAGTTGTTATTGTTGTTGTTGTTGTTGTTGTTTATTTTTGTTCTTTTGTTTATTTTGAATCATTTTCACTATTTCTGTAGCCTAACAGTTCTTTTTATTTTTGAATTCAAATCGCAAAATTTTTAAACAATTTTAGTTTTATTCTTCTTGAATGATTGCACTGATACAATTTTGAATAGGTATTTCGATTATAAAATCATTGCTTAAATATTAGAGATCACGATGCTCTTCAAAACATTTTTGGATTTTTTTTTTTGGATATGTTAGTATTTCTTGTCATGCTGGGTATTTTTCGGATTCGTTCCGGCAGTTTCCGGAATACGATGATAATGAAAATTGAAATTAAATGGTCCAATATGATTCCTAAGATGGAATCATATTGGACCATCTAAATTCAATTTTCCTATAATGCTATTCAAGCAGAAGTTAGCGACATTTGCATCGTTGTGATTTATGTTTGGTCGGAAGAAGCAAACATTTCCTATTAACCTAAATTTAGTTACATCATAAAATGTTTGTCCTTTTTTCATTCATCCATTCTTCTTTTAACAAAATTATTTAGTTGTGACATTTTGAGAGAAACAAATCAAAATAGGTAATTTCGTTTCCTTCTTCCGCTTTTTCCTGTTCTATTCTTTTTCGGATTCCTTCAATTTACTTAATTATTTTATTATTTCAAATTGTTTTAACTTTAAATATTTTCTTTTTTTGTTTGAGTTTTCTCTTAAATTTTTTCAGAACATATTTTTTTTTACGATTAATAAATGACAATAATTTTTATCATTCATTAGATGGTGATAGAAATTTACTGCGCTACATCATCTACTTGTTGAAATTTAATGCAATTTGACATTTTAGAAGCCGGTTATTCATTTACACAGTTTACTCCGTTTTATTATAATTCAATCAGTCAGTCAGACTAGTCGGTCAGCTTTTCTATCGATTTTTTAAAATTTGTTCAAATTATTGTTGTTAAAAAAGGATTTAATTACACACATGCTGATTTAATTATAGGTGAACATATGAATATGATATATTCAACATACACGGAAACATGTATAAAATTTTCACTTAAAAGTTTTTCCTTTTAAGTTTGATTCTTTAAAAATGTAATTTTTTATGTTTTCTTGACAATAAATTTAACTTAATTTCCAATTTTCACGTATTAATTCATGAATGTCGAATTTTTCATTTATATTCAGATTACGTTAATCTTCGCAGTTTTGCAATTTAAATTTTTTCATCTCACTCCTATTATTTGACCTTTTATCATCTGATGATATTATATCATCCTTCAATTCATCAATTCATCATGGTTTCATCGATGTTATGTATTCATTCAAAATTCCAAAATAGGTTGAGAAAGAAATGATAAAAAAATTTGATTAATTTTAATACGTATTTTTCTTTTTCCAATGAAAAATCCTCCTTCTACTATTTATCCGTCTATTCGTTCATTCATTTATTTTTTATTTCTTCCATTCCTTCCATTTCATTCATTCATTTAATTTTTTTATCTTCTTTTATTTTTCCTTCAACGAATTCTCTTTTTTCCAATTGTTTTTTTTTCTTCTTTTCCGTTTTCTTTTCAGTTAGTTGTGAATTTTAGAAAAAAAAAGGAAGAGAAAAAAAAATGGATATCAATCTTAGCCATTGCCTTAATAATATACGTTGTAATATGTGTTTGTGAATGTATCGAAAGAATTTCTTTCTTCCAATCTTTCTTTCTCTTTACTTATTGTTGTGAAATTTTTTTTTTTTTTTTGAAACGATTAAATGAAATTGATGGAATATTTATTGCTGTTTATTATCATTATTATTATCGTTATCATAGTTATCATTACTATTCTTCACCATACAAATAGTATTTATTAATTAATTTTAGAGCATGAATTATTTCCGGAATGTTTGGTTCTTACTGTCGATTGATTTGTTATAAATATATCTGTCTGTAAGTATTAATTCATATATGGCACATTTGACCATATGCTATGATGACCTCAGTGATTGGAGAATAAATCTAAAAGCGAGTAAAAGAATATCATGTTTAATTGGCCATTGTCCATTTCTTCTACAACATTAAAATCTGTCAAATCGTAAGTTCTTTGTCCAGTTTTTTTTTTTTCCATTTTTGTTTTTGAACAATATCAATGGGAATTTTACTGTGGGCTAAAATTAGTTTAATTACATAGTAAATTATTATTGTTATTTGTTATTATTGTTATTGTTATTGTTATTAGTGATACGCATACAATAAACAAACCCGCAATTAGATTGAATTGTTTTAAATTTGCACAACTTTATATAATTTATATTGCTATATAAAATTTGGATCATCATCGAAATCAGCAAATCTGTATGTCATATATTCAATTTTGTATGTTTGCAGATTATCACCATCAACATCTTCATCATTTAGTCGAACATTTCTCGAGAATATCACCCGTTCTCCATTCTATCATTCATTTACATCACTTGACAAAGCAAAATTATGGAGCAAATTTTATGTGGATGATGAAGAAAACGTCCAAGTATTCATTGTTTTTTTAAATTTTTTTTTTTAAATTTCTTTTCTTAAAATTAATTTGTAAGAAAAAGATTTTCTTTTTATATTTGGTAATTTTTGAAATTTGTTGCATTTTCTTTAAATTCTGATATACAATGACATAATGAATTACTGTAATGCTATGATATAATTTTGATATAATAAATTTTAAAACTTAACAACAGGATGGAAAGAATGCTTTCAGAAAGTGTTGGATGCGGTATCGGTGGATCAGAAAGTGATCACAGATCCGCATTCAAATCGGCGGCGTCGTACGGTTGTTGTTACCCGAAACAATGACGAACCATTTGGTTTTACTTTACAGGTAGAAATGTGGATGATAGGATAGAATGGAATTCAGATGAGTGATAAGATAGGTTGGAACGCAGTTAAGTGATAAAAATTCAGATCAATAGTAAACCTTTTTTCCCAAAATTTTTCAACAACTAAATTTTCTTTCGCACATACTTAAATAAAAATAAAAATTCTTCGAAATTAATTTTCAATTTATTTTTTTTCTTGCAGACGTATTTATTGAAACGGAAAGGTGATGATATGCCTTCAAAAGTGACTTACATAGATTATGTTCAACTTGATAGTCCAGCTGCCGATGCTGGTATTCGTGCAGGTGTTCTTTTTGTTTCATTTTTTAATTAAATTCAAGAAATTATTTGCTAACCGAGAATTTTTTAGAAATACGGAATTTATTGTTTGCTTAAATTGTAGGTGATATGATCATATCGATAAATGGTCATGTTGTGACAGCTATGACTCATGAAGAATTGGTGAAACTAATTGGTTCATATCATCAGATGCGAATGATCGTCATTTTTGAAAATATTCGACAGCGTATCGATTTGATTGCCCGAGCAATTAAATTGCGAAAAATTTTGAACGATAAATTGTATCAGTTGAATTTGATTGATATTGAAGAACAAAAAATTTTGAATAGTTTGTTTTTATCTTTCTTTTTTTCCTCCAATTAATAATTATTAATTTAAAATTGAAATGTTTGAACGAAGGAAAAAAAATAACGGCGAAGTCTGTTCTCTTCAATTTTTTTCACAGTTTTTTAAAATATGCATTTGCAGTTATTTTAGTTAATCATTGAACTAAAAAAATTTTCCTTCTCATTTTTTCAGGGGCCTATTTACGTTCATTATCACTGAGCAAATCATTAGTGAATTCACTACCGTCAGCCGGAACATCGCCTGCTTCATCTGCTGGTTCGAACATTACCGAAACTGTAAGTGACGCCGAGCGGAGCATCATTCAAATCCCATCGATAATATCAACTCATGGAGTAATCGAAATTAGCAAATATCCGTTAAGGAGACGAATAATGGTGCGACCAAATCTTGCAGAAATTTCCAATCCGAAGCAATCGATGAATTTACGTTCGAATTCCGGAGACTCAAATGTTACGACTACAGGAAAAGAATTCGCAGCAGTTCAACGAATTTGTTGTTACGGGTCTGATTTAGAACATGTTGATCGTATTAGCTCATCGTCATATGACACAGGACAAACTATTGATTCTCTTGGTTGTTTTAATAATTCCCGTGATAATGATACTGGTAATGTTAGTAGCAATAGTTATACTAGCACTGAAAATTTTGATAGTGATAGTGATACTGTTATCGGTAATGATACGGATAACGATGAGATTAATGTGTTTAATCCTGTTGCATTACCGGATAGTATGACAACAACAACAACAACAACAACAACAACAACAACAACAACAACAACAGCAACACCAATTCCGACATCAGAATCGGTGTTCAATTCTATAGCCTTAAATCATGTGATTATGTTGGATTATGATGTTATCAGTGGTGAGGATGACGATGATAATGATAAAATAAGGATTTTGAAGTTATAGGTGAAGTTTGGTTCGGCTTCTAAGATGAGAAACAAATTAAGTCTTTTTCATGAGTATGAAAATGATTGAAATGATGAAAGATACCTGTTATCATTCATCCTACCTCATTATAAACATATCACTTTGCTTTTATCTCCCATAAATTTATCAAATTTTAATCATTTAACACTTACCTAGTATATTTTAAATTTTTTTTTTAATTTTGTAAGAATTGTGATAGCAGTTATATAAATAAAACTAATAAAATTTCCATAACTTTATACTTCCAATATTTTTAAATTTTGATATTTCACAATTAATTTACGGTTCCATATCAATGTATAATATACGGTTCTTTGTTCCTTATCAATATAATATTTCTTGAATATCAACTTTCGAGAATTACGAAAATTTGCTATGTATATGCTTATCCATTGCTTGTATATTTGTATATATATTTTACAATTAACTCATTTTTGTTATAATCGAAATTTGCCGTTTTGGAATTGACATGAATGATAAAGCTTAAAAATTACAAATCTAAACTTGTAAAAACTTGTAAATAAATTTGAAATCCTGACACGGTATACATTCCGAAAGATGGAAGGAAGGGGAGATGAATGATACTTTTTCATACACTTTTTTGTTGTTCCGGTTATCTGAACAGAATCTTTTTAAATACAATCGCTTTCCTGACACAGAAAATTACTCTTTTGTTGTTTACCGACAAGATTAAAGTGTTGTATGAATTGCTCATTTACCTACATTTTCAATTTAACAGTATTTCCAGTACAAATCAAAGTGAGATTTTCTTGCTATATTTTTCTTGTAAATCAAAATTTAATAATTTTCACTTAAAACTATCGTAATGGTTATTTTATGTGAGAATTATAATCTCAATGAGGTTAGAATTTTATTTCATTTACTTTACTTTTTATCATTTCATTCATCTCTTTCAACTCGCGTCCTTTCAGCTGTCACATTAACGATAATGAAAATGACGAATGAGAAGTGAATTCTTTTAAATTTTGTCCAGTTTTTGGTAAAATAAATTTGCATTTATTATAATTGCCTTTTTTCTTCTTTATGGACTCTCAAATTCACAACACACTTTGCTTTCGAAATTAAGATAGAAAAGAAACATCATTTTAATTTCAAATAATGAGTATTCTGTTTCATTTAAGAAATGAATATTGTTATTGTTGTTCTTTTTGTTGTTGTTATTACTGCTGCTGTTTACAAAACAAAACAACAAAAAGGAAAAAAGATGGATGAGTTCAAATGGAATAATAACGACACCAATGGATGAATTATCATTGCCTTTAAATGCAGAATGCATACGCCGAGACAGAAATCCATTTCTAATTTATTATTCATCAAACTGATTTTCATTCCATCTGCGTTGCACCTCACTGACTGATACCAACAAATCCGCTTATCTTTCCGCTCCTTCCCGTTTCCTCCCATTTCTGTGACAATAAAAGATGTTGTTTGCATTTTATTGTTAATGAAATGAACGAAAGAAAGATTAGACATTGAAATTTATTTATGAAAATGGTACAGAAATGGGAAATTTGTAATAAATATACAGCAATTATTAATGTTTATCTGATAAATATGGTAAATTAAATGAAAATTTTGATTATTCCGATTAAAATTATTGAAAATTGAAGTAAATGATTAGAAAGACTAGCTGATAAGACATACACATACCATTTGATCTTTTCTTTTACATTAATGACATACCAAACTAATTATAAACAAAAAATTCTAGATATTTTTTAAAGAAAAAGAAAAGGTTTTATTTTCGTTTTAATGCAATTTTTTTTAAAAGCAAAGATTTTTTGATTTTTTCTATTAATGATCCTTTGAACTGTAAACATTTATTTATATCAGTTAAATATTATCATAAATAATGAAGCACTATCAGTGAGGGTTTTTATCCAAGGAGGGTATTTGTTACTTCGGAAATGAGATTAAAATTCGTCGAACTTGTTGTATTGCTACAATTTATCATCGTTCCACCATTATCACCCGTTATCATTTGCATTGATTGAGTGTAATCACTGATAGTTGCACTAAATGTCTGCAAAAAAAGATACGTTACCATCGGAAATCCATCAAATTAACTAAAATTTTCAATTCGCCTAATTATTTAATTTATAGAGAAAAATTTCCCGTTCAACAAAAATTTGAGTGTTATTTTACTTAAAAGATTATTTTACCAATTGATTTTTTTTCACTGATAATTATTGAGAATAGAAAATTTAGTAAATTACTAAAGTTTGAAAATTTTCAATTACTTGTAACTTATATTATTTAGAGAAATCATTCCGGAAACTTACATCTGTTGTTGAGTGTTCCGGTCTATCAAATAATACCGTCGATTTGAACATCGAATTTGTTGGTTGTACAACAGCCGGTGGTTGCAATAATTCCGATGACGATAACAGCAACTGAGCGGGTGTTGGTGTATAAGTGGAACCTAAATTTAGTTACACTTAAATACTATATTTTTTATATAAATTTAAAATTTTGCTATAAATTAAGTTTGATTATCAATTATTAGATTGGTTATACTGCGAAATGAAAGTAAATCTGACACGCAACTTTCCTACTGACAAAGACCTGTTGTCCCCAACTGTTTGAAATAATATTAAAAAATAATCGAATTTTATACTTTCATATCCTGAATGAAATCTTTAATTATGATCGGTAGATATAGATTTCATTAGGATGAATCAAACTTTCTCTGCTCTATCTCGGAGGTAAATACCTGTAGAAGGTAAATCGTTGGTGGTAAACAATGCTGGATATTCCACACAATTCCTTGCAGGTACCAAATTACTTTGATCCATTTGAGATGGATAAAATCCACTCGAAATTGCTGTGGTATAATCTGGTAGAAAAAAGATAATTGAAAAATTTTTTTTTTCCTTCTTTCTTTTGTATTACTTTTTTAGAAAGGAAAGAAACTGTAATAATGATAAATGAATGGATATATCAGTGGACAATCATTCGTCAATATTTGAAATATTTCCGGTATAAGCGAGGATAATTGTGTAAAGTGTAGGATAAATTCCAATATTAATCATTAGTTTGAAACATTCTAACATTTTACAATCTTATCTTCCTGCTAGCAGTTCAATAATAAATCATTATTGTAATCATTAATTAGACTAAGACTATTTCAGTTGATACCATCATTCTCATTTTTCTTTCCACGTAATTGAAAATGATTCATTTAACTAACCAGCATTATTAGTCATATAATTCTGATAGTACAGGTCAGATGATGATGGCCAATAGTTTGCTTTGGTTGATGATAATGATGACCACTGATAACTTTGATCATGTCTTACTGCACCGGTGTTATTATCGGAGGAAAAATATGCCGTTAATCCCGAGAAACTGGTTAGATCCTAAAAATGATAGGATTGATTATTATCAGTGATGAAATTACATTATGTTAATTGAAAAAATTTTTAATTGTAAAGGGAAGTAATGAAAAAAGAAAATTAATTTGCTAATACCTGAGGCAGTTGAAATATTCCCGGGATCATTGATGAATTTGCTCCCGATACTCCATGAATTAAATTTTCACTTTGAGTTATTCGCGGTATTCGAGTAGCACTCATACATGCAGCTGCTTTAGCAGCAGCTATTATTTGTTGTTCTTGCATCTGAAAGCAAAGAATTTTGAGAATTTCAAAAAAAATTAAATGTTTGAATTCGAAAACAAGGTTTGATACTAAAGAATCCGAAAAAGAGCAGCATAAAAATTGTAGAGTTACATAAAAATTTAAAAATCTTAGAATAAATTTCATAATTGTTAAGTTAAAAAGGAAAGCAAAAAAATTGTAAAACACATTTGGCTTACCTGTGTCTCTTTTAAATCATTACTTGTAGATGGCATTACAAAAGTTGAATATTGTGGTACTGATAAGATAGGTGGTTGATTAGCATTAATATTACTGATTTGTTTCTTCCGTCTACGTCCATGTGTTGATAAATGTTGCTCTCGCTGAACTTCTGGTATCGCTGATGTTTGTGTTGATAAATTCCGGTTTACTGGTACCGATAATAGCTGTTTCGATCTGAAAATTTCTCTGTTTTTTTATTTCTCAAAAATTTTTCCCAAAATTGTTAGAAAAACATCGATTGAAAGTTATCATTGTCATCAACCGATTGAAAATTATCATCATTATTAACCAATTGAACGTTTTTCTAATTCATGGATAATAACAAATAGAAAATGATACGTGATTGCTTCATACTTCTTATATATCCACTTCTAAACGTTACACATCATTAAATGTAATTGCTAAGTACACGTAAATAAAAAGAAAAACGATCGTTTACGTAAAATACCAAAATTTATTGGAAATAACAAATGTTTATTTTACTCTTTTAATATGAATGAAATATATTGCATGCATGAAATTCAAGTTAACAGTTGAATGTAAAAAAATGTAAGCATACAGTAATATTTCAGTAAACAAGTAAAAATTACTGAAATGTATAATTAAATAAGCAAATAAATATGAACAATAATTTAATTTTCACCTTGCAGACAATGTTGAAAATTGTGTATTTTGTCGCTTTGAAATCGAACAACGATTCTTGTCAGCACCAGTCATGTAAAGCGACAATGATGCGGTATCTCAAAAAAAGACAAAAGTTTTTATTTCGAATACAAAGGAATTGTCATTCAGCAAAAGGAACTCGCAAAGTGCAAGAATCAATCTGCACCGGCCGGGAATCGAACCCGGGCCGCCCGCGTGGCAGGCGAGCATTCTACCACTGAACCACCGGTGCCACACGGCCGCACTTTATTTTAATTAATATTATTTATCAAGTTCTTGATTTTGAGTAGTAAATTTTCAATTTCGGTTAATAGTAATTTTACTTGTCTTTACCGCAGGATGCTGATGGTAATGCTGCGGTGGATTGCAAATTTCCGGGTGATTGCAACAAGGAATCATCGAATGATAATAATTTCGCTTTTAATGATGTTCGCTTTTCAAGTAACATTGTTCCCTCAACTTCTCTAAAAGATGCAAAATATTTTCACACAAAAATTTGCTAGTAATTAGGTAATAAATTTTTAAAAACTTATTACTTAATTACTAAAAAATCTAACAAACATTTTGCTTGATAGATGTTATAAGGACGATATTCATTAATGTAACTGCCATATATTTACATATCTCATTTTTCAATCATGTAAAATAAATTTGTAACTTCTATTATTTTTTTGCTGCTTACTTTTTTAAACTATAACCAAACATAGCAACTTCTCTTTATTAATTTATTTGTCCTTTGAACAAATGTTTTGAAATGCTTAATTGTAAAAGTAAATTAAATTTGTGATTAATTTAGCGTAAA